AAACCCACTAGTGATTGTTAGGAGTATTCAGGTGAGTGTATGACAAAAATATAAATGCTCTAGTTTCGATTCATTATGCAGTCTTAGATAGCTACTGTTGAGAAGTCCCATACTAGAACGAAACAATTATCCATTATTGTTCCACTTTCATTAGTTGTCTAACTATAAAATTTAACAATCTTCACAAATCATTAACCTTAATAAAAATTCTAGTCAATCATGAAGTAGATCATTAATACAGTAGGAAAGGCATACTTCCAACTATTTACATTTGTTACTTCTTTTATTTAAAAAAGAAAATCAACTTGTTCAGTTTACATTACTGTGTATACAATCAGTAATTTAATTGAATAATCAAATTCTGACTTGACATCATCATGTGCTTTATGTTTCTGTATTGTATTATTATTATTATTATTATTATTATTATTATTATTATTATTAGTAGTAGTAGTAGTAGTAGTAGTAGTAGTAGTAGTAGTAGTAGTATGGTTCTTTCAACTAAGCAACTATTTCTATCATTATTAAAATAGTGAAGTATAAATATGATACATTATTTAGGAATGTAATAAATTACATGTGAGACGGATCAATTAACTTACAATAAATGGTCCTATTACTATTGAGAACCTGAAATTAGATAAAGTTTTTTCTCTTTTTCCAAATTGTTATAATAAAAAATTGATTTAAAGATGAGTTAAAAAATGACATTTGTAAGTAAAAATGGATTTCTACATTGTTTCTTTGATTATGGACTGTAATTGATCAGTATCTAATGGTATATATCAAATGAAATATCTAGATCATCCATACAGAATGCACATATACGAATAGGCCCTCAAATGCCCTGGTACGGCCGAGAGTGGAGAGAGTCCGCTCTCCCTTTCAGAATGCTCTCACATGGCCACGCGTATATGGCCTCTGCCAGGGAAGTCCTACTCACTGCCTTCTCGTGGTGGGGTGTTTACGAAAATGAGAGGACGAAAAGCGAATATCCGGTGCTTTAACCGGGTTGGTGGACACGGAGAGCCCACCTAGGGGAGTTGGAAAACCCTGATTCCAAACCAACGATGTACATGGGCTCCAGTATCCTGAAGGAACAAGTGGTGTGTGAACCTATTGTTGGTGACCGGCTACTATGAGACTGCATCTGCTGACGTTGCTCCACTGCCTTGTGGATCAGACCTTCAGGTCGAAGGCTCAGGGTGTGGCTCTCTAGGAAAACCAGCTGCTTCGGTTTGGGCACGCGGGCAGTATTCACAGCCCTCACACATATCGAATGAGATTTGTGTGGCGCATATGTATTTGGTGCCTCCTTGTACCAATATCTATGTGTTAAAATAAATCAATATACGAATAGAGATTGATCATTTGTAATTGATAACAACAAAATAAAACTATTACTCATTGTACAAGTTAATGATTATTTCATTTCAATAGTTCAGTGAATAGGATATTGTCTTATGGAATGAGCTAATGTAACTATAAAAATTGGAATGCTGATATATCCGCGGTTAACAAGTCCTGAATATGATGAAATGAACATATTGATATTTCACTAATAGCTGCTGTATAACTTTTATAGGAAGTGATAAAATATTAATAATTTGGAAGAAATAGTAGATTAAATGCGTAAAACGTATAATCAAACAATCATTTTTTTCAATGATTGAGATCATGAGTCGATTGAAGCTAGGCCACTGTGGATAACCTGGAAGCACTGGGCGGCCGTTTCGTCCTATTGTGGGACTCCTCAGGAGTGCACATCCACGACCTCGCCTAGCGAGATTCGAACCCAGAAACTATCAGTCTCGTGTTCGAGCGCTTAACCACTGAGCTGGCATCCAACGGTGTTAATGTCTAACTTCAACTAATCCACGAAATGGAGCGACACATCCACCATTGTCATCAGTGAGTTCCTATCTCACAAATGAACTTGGAAAACCAGGTTTTCCATGGTGATCTAGCTCCAGGTGACTCATGAACTCAACCATTGAAATTATTATAATATATCCACAAAACCCTTCTGATATGAATCTTTTATTTGCTGTTAAATTAACTGAGATAATTCCAACAAATTCATTATGATTTTTAGATATTATTCTAAATAATCTGAAACTTCCCAATTTACATAACTAAACAAAGATGAGTCTTTTCTCTGTCAATTGATGATGAGGAGATTTAAAATTGTCATCTATACAATACAATACTTGAATTAATCTGATCAATGATTAATCCCAAATGAAAATGAACACTAACAAAATAATGTGTAATAAAGCGTCACTTCTGTCTATTTTATTGAAAATGCACTGGTAATGAGGCTATACATTTGTCTAGGCCTATTCACAAGGTGTTGACTAACACAACAACTGTTTACATTAAACGATCGATTGTTCAGTTAAAGTTCTTGTTCATATCCAGTCTACAAATCATAAGACCAAGAGGTCCAGTCAAGTATCTTATTATAACTTTTTTATCATTATAATCGAACTAGAAAATTTACGTGTTTATACAAGACAACAAAGCACTTTAAATCAGAAATCTCATTATTCTCATAACTAGGACATTTGCAGTATTGCAATTTGTGAAGGGTAAAATATTATTGAAACGGTTAATGAGTTAACCAAAAGCTTACAATTAGGACAGTATTAAAGTGCTATAAATCAATCATTTAATGAATACAGATTACACATATGACCTAGTGACTAGGTGACCTTCTTACTTGGAAATCTTAAATGATAGATAAAAGCTTCATAGAAGGGTGGTATATTTGAGATAACAAATTAAATAGAGTTAATATACATAGATCTTAATTATTAAGAGAATGAAACAGTTTGAGATCAAATGGGAAAGATTGGTGAATCAAAAAAAGAAATTCCACTTCCCCAAAAGTTTATTTATAGGTGGAGTAATTATATATAGTCCTGTTGTAAACAAGAACACGAGTGGGGACAACCAAGTATATTTGAGCACATAATTACAGAACATCTCACTGAAATCTGAGAACCATACGGTAAATAGTTAATTTGCAAAATATCAATCACTTGTCTCAAACTTGACTGTTCCTTTTGTAAATATCAGTCCATCGTCTCAAATTTCATTGTTCATGCATTTTCATACCAATTGCTTTCCGTTACCGTTCCTTCCTTCTCGATCTTCCACTCAAATACATTCTATGTCTGACCATCGTTATATACTACTTATGTGGATATAAGTAGCTCACATACCTGTGTTCTTGTTCACTACAGTCCTAATAATAAACTACCGCTCATTATACCTAACTAAATTACTGTAAAAATAGACATTAACTCATAAACGCACTAAAATGAATGAAGTGTATAACTTCATGTACATATTGATAATATGTACAATTAAGAGTAAATTTACATCATCTTAGAGTTAATACATTTATTTAATCTGTAAAAGTGCAAATGATACAGGGATATACATTCAAAAACATATTAGCCGAATTTATCCACAACGTTTTCAATGTTAACTAGGTATGTTTTACATTGAACTTCCAGTCATTTTTCCATCCCTTTATCGGGTAAATACTGTACATCAGAGTGTAATGTCGATTAAAGTTTTATTTCAAGTCCTAATGTTTACTGTTCGTGTTCTTTTTTTAACTGACATTTTGCGTTGCCCTGCATCGCGATATGCTCAAGGCAGAGAGTTGAAATTAAATCTTTGGAAAAAATGACACTTTAATATCCAGCATCCAATCACCAAATAAACAAAGAAAATGACTGAAAGTGGTAGGTATCACCCACTTAGTGAACAATGAAAATATTGGAGATAAAATATTTGATGAGTCAAACTAACTAATTTTATGTTTTAGACGTTAGAAAAAAAGATAGCATTTCTCTTCTATTTTGAATACAGATTATTCTATCCTCATCCCTATCACATCCGTAATTTAAAGAACTATGCATTTAAAGAGTTACAACATGTTAAACGAATTAACTGACTATTGTTAGGAGAGCTTTTTAAAGACTGTTGATGGTACTCTCAAGTAAAATGTAACACATTATAGAACATAGTTGATGAGTCATATTTGCAACTATGTTGAATAGGTGCACCAGTGATTTATTTATGGCTTTGAATATTCGACGTATTACCAATGTCATTGGTATATTATTCAACTCAATGTTAACTTTGAATTCCGACAAGCTCTCATTTTACTAGAATTGTAAAATAGACTAGTAACTTTTGGTTTATTCTACCCACTTCATCGCTGATTATTGTGTAAAACATATGACTAATTGAGTTTTGGATAAGTAGGCATATACTAGAAAGATAATTTTATTAATTAACAATTGAACATAGCTAATTAAACAGATTTTGACATTTTGTTAACATATATACTTTAGTGATGACGATCTACGGTAGATATAATTATCGAATATATAGTAGATATCTACAGAATCTTAGTATCTTTGTAACTGGAAAATGAAAAGATCGTTGTTTAGTGACCATATTATTGCATGAATACTACAATTGTCTATAAGTCTTACAGGTGGTGATCAACTGAAAGAACATACTGCTTGAGGAGTGATTAGTCCGTCGTCGGTTGGATGGTTCATGAATGTATGAGTGATACGAAGGATTGAACAGTTGGACTATTTCAGTTGGATGTAAAATATAAGGTTTTTGTTCGGTACAAGTTTAAGATGACGAGTAGGGTGTAAATCTGTCTTGTTCACCTGCTACCATAGGACTATTTCTTATAACATTGTTCTACTCCTTAAGAAACCCACCTGTTTCGGTCTACAAGTCTCAACCGGCACACAAATGTTAGTGAATAATTGTAAAGAAACTGATCTATTCTTTCTGCTTAGTTGTCTAATCAAACGTTACAATAACTGTAACAAACATGAATCTGTTTTATGCTGTTTTAACTCCACATCTCGTTTTATTTCCATTCAATGTATATTTTAGTACTCCAACTTAATATGTAAAGCTAATTTATCCAATATATTTTACTTCACAGTAGCAGATGAATGAAGCAAGTTCATTATTTCCACACACAATATTCTGAAGCTTATGAAATTCACCCAAAGTTTAGTTACAAAAAGAAAACAATTTAAACAGATAATAGTTTTGTTTCCTCTATAAGTAGTATAGAGATAAGTAGCTTGTTTCTTTTCACAAATATCAGTCCATAACTCTTTTAATAAAGTAAGTTTATCAAAAAAAGTTCAACATTACTTTCAAATTTTAGTTTACAGTAGTATATATGTTGTTGTTGTTTTCTAAATGATGGAGAATTTTGTACAGGAATATAACCTTAGATAAGGATCTTATGTTGATGTGAAATGAGTTTTATAAATCTATCGAAAGTGTTTGTTTGTTTTTTCTATAAATTATAATTACACTTACGGATCTTTCCTATTCTATCTATATGAACAGTTAGTTCGACGACATTTACCTGAATATAAACGATTAGTAATTGAATTTATGCTAGAACTTCTTGTTAATCCACTAATTAATGGTAATTGTTTGTTGAAATGCTTTAATCGTTGAATAATTGATTCACCACTTAATTGAATATGATCTGAATTCTGTTTGATATGTGGATTAAACTGATATGATTTTGGACAATGACATTTATTGGCTTGTGATGCAAATGTAGGTCGAATAACACGTTCAACTAAATCGTTTTCTTGTTTCTTATCATACAAATGAAAAGTTTTATGTAAAGTTTTATCAATTGAATAATTATTAACTACACCTAGAGGAGTTTTTAAAGATAAATTTTGATCGCATAATACACATGCTCCACGACGTTTCAACTTACTAGAAGTAGTTGGTCGTGTTATTCGATTAAGTTTATGATTGATTTTTTGAGAAGTTTCCCATTGATTAATATATTTAATCGGTTTAAAATGACCTCTTTGATCGAATAAACTAGACCTTGATTCTGGATTAGTGAGTTTTTGCATGTTAATATTTTCGGTAAAATAATTAGTTGAATGATCGATGTGTCGTTTTGACAATGCAGATAATAATGCTTGACTTTCTTTTTGACGTGCAATAGATCCAGCTGTTCCTGAACTATGAAGTCGTCGAACAATTTTATTGATTCTATTCCATTCAACTGGTTCTTGAATAGAAGTATATCGATTATGTACACTAGAGCAAGCGCTAGAACAATGACAATGTATGTTCATCATCCAATTTTCATTATCTTCTTTCAGTAATAATTCACCACGAGCACATGCACACGGTGGTAAAAGTGGATTAGATTTTCCAGTTCTATTCCATATTTCTGCTAATTTATTCAGTCTATCCGAAACATTTTCATAATCATCAATTGATCTCAAGTCAACCAAACGACTTGAACAATTCGATGGTGATAATGATGGCGACGATGGTGGCGATGAAATACCCCGACTAGTTAATGTTTCACCATCATAATACTCTATAGGATTAACACTGTTACTTTCAATATTGAATTTTGGATTTTGAATGTCTAATGTTTGATGATGACTTCGATTAGATAAGCTGGCTAATTGAGCTTGAATAATCGAAATTGTTGGTTTACTAAGACGTTCAACTAGTTTTTTCTCCTCTTCTACACTAATAGTTTTATATCCATAAAATTTCGGAGCTTGTAAATATTCAGGACGAGATTTGTATAAACTACTCGCCATTGAATCAAATACTAATCACAATAATTAACAAGAATATATATGACTAAACAATTATATTACACCAATAATAGTTTTGATCAAACAGTTACGAAAAATAATAATAATATTCAACGTTATAATTAAATGTTTGATTTTCTTTTTACTTACCCGCCAATCGTAAAATCTCATAATGTCAAGGTGAAGGTCGTCACCGTAGTGCTATTAATTCATTAACTAATAGACTTAGTAGGATTTGATGTGACCTAAACACTTTTTATATAAAAACTATATGATAATTAAAGAAAAATTTAATATAGTATGATGAAATTGAACATTTGAAGAACTTATTAGCGTTTATATTTACATTTCAGTTGATGAATTCGAATAAAATGATAGATGAGAACAGAATGAAACATGGAAATTATAATGAGTCTGTGTATTTTATTGTTTATAAGGATGGAACATTAATTGTAAGTAAAATTTAATGTTAATTCTCATATTCATTTATGATTTGTTGGAATTCATTTACCAATGACTTTTAGGTCAGTAAGATGTTAAGTCTACAATGTTTCTGAACTTAAATAACAAGAATTACTCATACTAGGTTTGTATCCTGGTCACAATTTCTAAACTGCGCCCTGATAAACAAAGATGGATAGTGGCCAGCAATGGAATCCAGGACGAAGATTTCTTCCTGTTTGGGACTTGTCAGCTGGATGTACCTGCATCTCAGAGTTGATCTTCACTCCACGAATTGAACCCAGTAACTTTCGCTTTAAACGCCATCGCGTTATCCACTTAGGTACTGAGTCCTGATAGCCACTTGCTTGTGCAATGGGATGAAGTTTACATTCACTTGGTATTATTTACTTGGATTCCACCGCTAGCCACTATTCATCTTTGTTTATAATGCTTGTGAATTAAGGCAATATCGAGGCAATACACATACTATGCACATATGCCAATAAGAGACCGATCAGTTGTAGTCTTAAACATCAATGGGAAAATTCAAGTAAACAATACCAAGTGAATTTATGCCCTGATAACATTCACCAAAAACCTACCATACGTAAAGTTTATTTTCATGATGGTTTTTAGTATGAATTTTATGTTGATTGAAGAACTATTGTAAATAAGAAAATACTATAACCTATATAAATAACTAAAATTAGTTTAGCATAATGCAAATTCAATCATAATTTAGAACCGCTTCAATGTATCTTAGAAATGATAATAAATGAACGTCCGATCTCAAGGAGTAGGCGTATTTTCATCTAAATAACGGAGTGAAAATGGTGAATTTAAAAGCGATTGAGACATCTAGTAACAGATGAAATATCACATATGGTGTAGCGCACAGATTTCTAGCAAAGGAAAAAACCAGCAGCAATCTAGAGAAGTGTTAAGGCTTTACTCTTTTTATTGCCAGATCTAAAATCTCAGAAGTAGGCAGTAACTCCTTAAGGTAAGCTATCGATTTTATTTCAGGAGTTTGACAATTAACAACTCTTAGAGAACTTATGATAAATGAAGAAATTACACGATCTACAAAATACATAAACACTACTTATATTATTTTAGACATGTTATTTTTGTATGAGAATCATGTGGTTAACATTGTTCTTCTTTCGCATCCCTTTTATTTTTTTTAATGGAATGATGAAGGCCGGAGCACACTGAAATCGTTTTATATTACCCTCCTACAAGTTAGTTTCTGATTCGCCTAATCTAATTTCTTTTAAGCGATACGTCTTGCTCGAGTTCCCCTGAGTGCTTGCACTTGCTACAAACGAAATTATAGGCAATTTAGACTAAGACACTGAGTAATTTCAGCATCGGTGAGTTTTTGTCACTCGAAGATTTGTGAATTCCAGTATAGCTCTGTAAATGTTTCACCCACTAATTAGTTCAAGAGCCACTTGGTTACGTCATGTTTTATAGGTGTTAATATTGCAAAAAGACGTCAGGACTCTACTACTTGATTAGGTACTCGTTCACAATCAGTAAGTCGTCTGGCTAGGAGATAATCAAAGCATAAATCAGCTAGTAACGACAACCACTCGTTTTTAAATTTCTGAAAAACATCCTGGGTGATTTAAATTCAAATGAGTGACCTCTGTTGATAAGTGTACGCGACGGATAACACGGTGTATATATGCACAGACATATAAATAACTGTTAGGAGTTGGTATTAAATCGAAAAATAAGAAACATGTTTTGTATTGACGTAAACCTACGTTTGGTACATATTAACTGAAATCCGTAACTAATACGCGACTTGATGTCTAATCTCCATGATCCTAGTTTGAACATGAATATATGATATTACAATTAGCTGATAATAGTGTAAACAGAAACATGAATTTCAAGTTAGCTGCATGACATGGCTTAGAATCGATCACCATGGCGTATGTGTATACACTCACTGTCTTTCTTTAAACTATGAGATTAAAAGCGCTTCACAACTTTCTTTCTTCCTGTACTATTTTCTTATATGCAATCTTTCTTTTATATATTACCACCACTGAATTAAATACTATGAATCCGGCGTTGATCTTGTTGTGCTAGTGAGGTACGGCAACTTGGACTGATGCACATATGTGCCTGGTCCTACGTTGTAGCTGACTGACTGAAATATGTCCGGTAAATTTATGAAGGTTCTTCGCAGTCTAAAGCATCAAAAAGTAAGAAGTAAAGTTTCACTGAGACAGACTGAAACGTTGACAGATAGTTAACAAATTTTAACATATGCATTGATAGACTCAGCATCCCAAGGAATGCAGTCTGTTAACCACATTAACAATACTGACTAGTGCCCACTGTTAGTACAATTAAAAACACTGTAGTATAAAGTGGCCTGAGTTATGTGTACGTACACCATAGTGTAGTATTTTCTAGTGGATTTTAAGGATATATTTTGCGTATACATAACTAAAAATTCTTCGTGTTCTTGAACATTCAGTTCCCTAGAGCTTGAGAAAGATTTAATTTCATGGCTTTTAAAAGTTTTTCAACTTTCAGTAATTTTAAAAGCGAACAAATACCTAATTGGATGGTATTTTCCAATCACGTGGTATAAATGATTAAGTCGATTTATATTATATACAACGAAAAATGGAATTAGTCACCTACCAGTTCAGAAATAATTTGTACAGGCGCAAACGATTAAACAAGTACACATACGTATTATTTCCTTAGCTGCTACCATGAAATACTTACTCTTTTGGGTCTTATCATTTCAGGTAGGTTGGCTGGAGAAAGGTAATAACTGGAAGCAGCAAAGTTATGGTTCGAGAGCGATGCCTACTGCTGACTGTAAAAGGGCATGAGGGTAGTAGGGTATTTCACTCAGACAATCAGGATCTGCAGAGATGTGACCTCCCCACAATAGGAGAGGTCGGAAAAATTTGCAATCAATACAGATCTTCATTAGTTAATTGTATCCGGATATTAGAAACGAGAAACTGACGACTTCCCAAGTACTATTTTATCAGTCAAAAGGTTAGTTCAACTAATAAAGCATTATTAATGACATATTTGTGCAAATTTCTAAACAGAAAAACCACGTTGAGTGAATTATTATACATTACAATATATATTAGACTTAATAAAGAAATTAGAAAACACACTATTTTGGTATCATAGACTCCATCAATCACAAACCTTCAGTAGCTCAAAATATAGTTTCGTCTGTTGATTTCTAATGATTCTAAACAGAAAAGGCAATCAATTCCATTATTTTAGATCTGGATAGCTTCAATCCACAGATTCTGTGACTGTTGATCTGTGCCATTAGTGCAGACTACTTGTTAGGGGGCCAGAAGATTACCGTGAATGGCAGTTGAATGCATTGAATAATGTGGCTCAGAATCGATTGCAATAACTCAGGTGCGTTCTTCCTCCTCCTTTAGATACTCAGTTTCAAGACTTTTTGGTAGCTACTTATTCTTGAACTATATTTCTCATGCTTAATCTTTTTTGCTACCACTGAACTTACTACATTGATATTCATCTTTATAGTTTCAGCTCACCGTGTTGATGTGGTGTAGCAACGTGGCCCGATCCACTTGTGCCAGGTTCTATGTTGTTTCTGAGTGACAGAGTTCTAAATAGCTGGATACTGCCAAAAAAGTTTAATATGACACAGGAGCTCCCTATTTGTTTTCGTAAGGTGACGATTTCGAAATAACAATTACCTACGGAGTGTCTTTGGAAATGACTGATGATATTGAAACCTGTTGACGGTAAACAGTTTTAATTCAATTATCTGTACTGAAGCTAAATGTAATTCAGTGAAAAGTCATATAAATTTTGGTTAATAAGTATATTGCCAAATAGTCTTCAGCCACAAGTATAGAATACATAATAGCTAAGATAAAGTCCTTGTATGTATGCAGTTTATTTCAGAAACAATCTGTTTTGCGAAGTGGCACTTTTCAGACTTGTGAGTTTAAGCTCAGAGGTAGTTAGAATGATAATTTGAATAAGCTTGGTACACAAGATTACAAGGACGGAGTCAACACTAATTGGATAGACCTATAAGAAGACAGTGTCTTTTAAGATGAATGCCCATAAAGACTGAGAAGTATACAAGATCCTTCCAATTGAAATGTGATCAGTACTTGCCAACAATACGAATAACGAAGAAATATTAGTTTAAGCCACACAAGACATCTAGCATCTTACTATTGAATTGGTTGAAAATAGGAGTGTTACACTTGAGACAACGTTGATTAGAACTTAAATAAAAAGTAAAGTGCTTAATGGCGTTTTTACCCATATCATCGAGTCCATTTGTGTTTTCAAAAGAATACGAGGAACCTTAAAAACCCAGTAACATGTTTTCAAAACAATAGTCTCCAGATCAACTGAGATACACTTTAAATAAAAAAGCCCCTTGAAAGGTATAGGAGTACGAGTACGGCAAAAAACAAACTTGATATTCTCCAATAAAAATGCTGATATTTTGGAAAATATAATGAGAAAATGAAAAATAACCGGAATAATTTTCAACTTGAAAGGCATAATAAAATCGGTAGTTGAAGGAAATTGACAAATTTAAAATAGAGTAATCAACAACAAAGAAAAAATAACTGATATCTTATTCTGTTTCTTCAAGTCTGGCACGTAAACGAGCAGCATAACCAGTAGAGCGTAAATGATAAGGTAATCTTCGAGATTGTTTTTTAGACGTTACCAATGTTTTTTCTGAGTAATGACGATTAGGTAATGATTGTTTAGATTTAGATAGTGGGATATCTGATTTTATATTGATAGAAGAGTGTGATCTTTTCTTGAATTCTGAATTTTTATCTTGTAAGCTCCTTTCAGTGTTTGTTGTTCTAACTGAACTTGGGGCATTTGAAGGTGTTTCATTTTTAAGCAAATCAATGACAGGAATAGTTGTTGGTACCTTTGTATATACAATATTTGGAGCAAATACTGGTAAACATATCATCTCACTTGCAATATTTATTACACGTTCATAAATTTCAGCTAATTTTTGCAATTTCATTGCGGATTCAGAGTTTAACTTTGGAATACGATAAAGACGAGGGAGCCAATAGCGTAAAGTTAAACGGAATCTATCATCTGGTTTAAGTGATTCTATATCAATCACAAGACTATAAAATAAGTGTCCAGACGGAAAGAATATCCATGACGGAAGAAAGCTCAAACAATTAGATTTTCGATCAGATAGTACCAATTCATCAATTAAATGTGTCAATGATCGTAGATAGATATAT